TTGGCCTTTGATTTTAAATATGAAATATGCTCTTTTGGGAAACGCTATGGATGTTGAATCAATATAACGATGATTCAATTACATGACCAAAGGCTAATTTTAGCAAATCGCATTTTAATATTGACAACGTGATTTTATATTATACAAGTCTGACTACTTCTGTTGATGACTCGATATGATTCTCTCTAGGTGAAAACTTGCGAGAGTAACAAATGTTCAATTTAGGGTGTGTACGATATATTATATAAGTTAGAGTTACTACTATCAGGCTTGTCTCAGCCTATGACGTTGTGTGTTGTTCTTGCCGAAATCAATGAAACCGCAGTTGAAACCTTTGGACGTGAACGATGGAAGGACCAGAAGGACGTGGCTCACGTTATTTGCGTCGCAGTGGTAATCGATTAGAGATACGCAATATATATTAATTAGGTCCACGCCACTCTGTCACGCCGTAAAGCGGGATACAGGTCGACAGCCTATTTTTATCACCACCGGCAAACCGACACATACACATGCGATGTCCCACACTGCGCACTGCCTATGATCTGATGGAAAAGGCCAACGTGTCCATGGGTACATCATTATCGTATTCGTCCTGTGTAAGATTGGACGTAATCGACCGTTGTATCGGATTTTTATAGTTTTCCCGTATGGTTTATTCGTTTTATTATGCGTTACGATTTATTATTATGCCGTTAACAGTTCCTTAAATAACTATATCCAACCTAAAAAATATAACATATAATACATAATAGAAATATAATATTATAATAATACATATATATATATATATATATATATATATATTTAACTATGTGTTCACTTCATTCCCTAACAATAAAGTTTTCGTAGAATTTATATTTTGTAAAATATTTACTTTATGAGACCCCTTTAAATTATTTTATGAATATATTATAATATTTATTGAAAATTATTTGAGTACAATACTTTAATAATTTTATAATTGATATTTTTAAAACAACGATATGGCCCTCCAAAAAGATATTTTATCAAAACATTAGTAATTGTTTTTACATAGTACAAATTAAAATATTTTAAATTTATTAAAAACCATGTGTTATATTGACTGTATAAAAGTTTATCAGATATGCTCCAAGAAAACGACAGATTTGCTGAGCCGTTTCTTTTAAACGAAAAAAGTTTTAACTATGAGTTGTAAAAAATAATTAATATTAATATTTGAATGACCTTGGTAGATACTTTGAAGAAGAGCTTCTATTTTATTTTTCAAATTATTATATAGTTTCTGCTTACTTAAAATGTTTCGGATAATGTAAATTATGTTACAATGGTGTATTAAGTGTTTTGCGTGACAAATTATTTAAATGAGTGCTGTGAAAATAAGAATTCATTTATTGAAACAGAGTAAAATATTTCATACTTAATTTTGTCAGAACCTTGTGATAATATGGTAATATTAGCTTTCTTCAGACTTAGTTTTTTAAATCACTTTTTTTCCTTTAAAGAATAATAAAAAGAGTTTAAATATTATATATTATATATAACTAATTAATTAATAATCTTTACACAAATTAATTTTTTGAATATATGAATATATGAATATTATACTTAAGATTTATTGACTGGCTATGACAATTATATATATTCAGTAATTATTTAATGAGAGTATTATGACAAACAACCATGTGTTTGTTATAATCGAATTTATTGTTCTCAATGGCGTAATTTTGAATACTTTATTAAACTTTAAATTGAAGCACACGTATCAAACAGATGTCCAGAATATTTATTACATACTTTAACCTTCAAATATGTGGGTAGGATCTGGTGGGTTTTGGATACAACCATGAATAACCTGAATTTGATACACGACTAACTGTGTACATTGTTACCATAAGTTAGGTTATACATATACACTGTACACGTATGTAGTGTCAGAATGTCTACAAATAATAATTTGTATTATTAGGCAAAATAGTTTTTACTGGGTATGTATGAGCTGTTTTAAATAACAAAAATTAGAAATTTAAATAAGATTTGGTGTGAAACACAAATATTATGGATGCAATTTTCGATTAATTAAAATATTGGAATTGCTAATATTTTTTGCACAGTGTTTATTATTTTATATTTAATTGTTTTCGCAAAAATGTTAATTGATATTATTTCTTATTGTAGATTTTATACCATTGAATTGTTATTCATTTTTATTTACTTAATTATTTATTTTATATCATTAAATTTTTCTCTAATGATCTTTGAAAATAAAAATAATACACATTAATAATTGACGTGATTTAAATTACACTACAATAATGATTTTTTTACTTTTTCTTGGCGATTTATTGTTTTTCTGTTTTAAATGTGAAAATCATCCATCTGTTAGTGTTTTTTTTTTAAACAAATTTTATCACTGGTGAAAAATATGTTTCGGAGCTTGAGCGCCAATAATGTACGCGGTTTCCAATTTTCAACGCTCATTCATCAAAAAAATGCAGACACGAGCTGCCGGTAAGGCTGCCGCCAAGTAGGCTGCAAGAACGACTTAAAAGCGATCAATCTTGTTGAAGTGAGAAAAGAAAAAGTAAATAAAATAAAAACAAAAACAAAGCGGACAAAAGGAAGAAAACATTTATCGTTTGAGAGCAAAGACGATTTTTCAACACGCAGAAGACGATTTGTTGAGATATATTCATTATACAGCGAGGCGGGTGAATAGAAGGGATGGAATTATTGGAATCGGGGGAGAATAGTGGGGTCACTAAAGGATTTCCTGGACATGACTATATGTGTCTGACGTTTATATATTTACAAGCATATACATAACGAGAATCAGCCAATAGCAAGGATTACTGTCCGTTTTCAAAATTAGAACACCAATGGGTAGTCAAGTAAATAATAGATTTAAACCGAAATAATTAAATATACAAGTACATACAGTGAGTTATACGCAGCTAGTCATTATGACGTAATGCTATAAAATAATAAAAACTACGTTATGGTTGTATAGACCTTAAACATATGGCCATAATTTACATCTTGCTGGTTGAAATCGTATTATAATACTTACGAGAAGCTCTATGGACGGCATATAGGTATTTATACAAACATAACACGGTATTAGTGGCATAGTTGGATAGGAAAAGGTTCTGGTGCAGTAAATAAACTAGATCATCTAACTAATAATATCTTTATAGGAAAATTTTAAATAAATATGTTATATCTTTCTTTCAAATACGAATACTTACTATGAAACGATGAACGAAAATAATTAATAAATATACAAAGTAAAAAAAAATTTAAATTTACGACTATATATTGCACATTGCCTGAATTATTATTCTACTTTTATACCGATCGTAAATAGAATAACTACGCATAATTTATATTTATCAATATTTTCAATTATTTTAAGGAAGTGTAGTCTTAGAATTATCCAAGGATTCCAAGACCCTCTGGGTTTAGAGCCTCGGGGTACTGCCCCACTTTTCCCTATGATAGCTATGTTATTAAACAGTATCAAAGTTATACGAAATATCTTGTTATAATAATATTAAATTAGTATTACGATACTAAATAAATTAATGGCAACATATATTATAGTATTATATTTAAATATAACTTAGACGTATAATATGTCGTATACGAATATCGTATAAGTTTGAAAAAAAATTATTAAACTTGTTTATTATAATTCAAGGTAAAGTTATTGAGACAACGATAAAAAATATTGTTTTTAAAATCAGCGATAAATAAATATTATAGTGAATTGTTATAACCATTTTTTTTCTGCGCTAGATATTAAAATGCCATATTTTAATTTTTTTATGTTCGGTTTCGATGAGCTCTTATGCGCTGACCAAACGATTAAGTTTAACCAGTAACCATCTGGTTATTTAATATGTTAATCTTTAAATTGGTGACGTGATGTATTCCTAAAATTAGTAATTAAGATATCAACAGATACCGATAGTAATCTATGAGGCGTTAGATATTGCGCGCCCTTATAATCTGCGAAACCGTACTCAAGTATTAGTGTATTCTACCCAAATATTTTGATAGTACAGTGTGATTAGTTGATACAATGATATAAAAATAAATGTAATCAGACGCTTCCTCATTACATTGGATGACTTGTCAAGTATGATTGCATGCATCTAAACTATTAAACATTACATATATTATTATACTACTATGAAATACTGACTCTCTCTCACTCTCTTTTTTTGTAAAATATGTATATATTAGAGTAACATATAATACATTTATAACATTTTCTGTTAAAATTTCGATATTACAATGGATAATAGGAATTAAATAAGGTTAATAAAAATATTACGAAGTATGGTGATAATCAATCGAGTGATCGACGCGTTTTTATGTATATATGTAATCAATACAGTTCGTGTGTACGCACATTAATATTATTATGCATTATTAATGCTTCAATTTAAATGTGTATGAAAAACATTGCTACGTACAAATTTTTATTTAATATGAAAAATGAAAAAAAAAAATCATATTTTTATTAAAATATCTAATTATCAACATGTTAAAGGTACCTATATTTATTTTTTTCGATTTAAGCCCGGTGTACTTTTTTGTTTATTCGTACGAGGATATGACCGAAAGATATGAAAAAAAGATAGTAATTAGTAACGGAGTTATTTTGATTTTTTTTTACATTTTTTTTTTTTTTTTTGTACAATCAATGAACTATGATTTATCGCACCACCACTGCAGTTGTTATATTAATTATTATACATGCATATAAAACACCAGGAATATGTTACTTATTTTTATGTTAATTGTATCGGTTTTTTGTTTGTAGATTCAAGTGCAGCTTTTTTCGGTTTTCAATACTTTATTTAGACCAGAAAATATTGTATACACGATTCTCGGCGAATATAATTCGGAGTATTTTCACAGTTATGCCAACATCGTTCGGACGCGCCAGCGCGCCGTGATCCCGTGTGTGTTAGCCGCGTGTTATCTTCGTGCGTGTGTGTTCATATCAAATGGAAGATCTTTATATATCGTCGGCCACGGCCGCGTCCACCAACAATAACGTGGACGACTCGCCGAAGAGTAAATGGAACGGTAGGTTGACCATATTGCCGGAGACTGTCGAGGTGGCGGACGGCGGGGATGGTGGAAAGCCCCCGATGTTGCCGCCGGATGACAAGCGCAGGAACCGCAGGAAGTCATGGCAAATGGGTAAGCTGGACAAGAAGCGCAGGAAAAGCGTGTCCGTGCTCTCACCCATTCCCGACGTCGAACAGTTAGATCCGCTAGAGTCCAGTTTTTACAAGTCCAAAAGAAACAACTGGTGGAATATCTTCTCGCACGAATCTTGGGCTCGGTAAATAGCAACACACTTATCGCTTTAAAAACTACACATATGGAACGTGGACCCATACGTTAAAATTAACATAATATGGTAATAGTTGTCATCGGGTTATTATTAGGTAGACTTATTCATAAGGCGCGCCAGGATAATATTTGATATTTATCGTAAACGAACGTTCTTTATCGGTGCGCAATGTAACACGGTAGTCTAGCGTGTAGTTTCGTAAACAAGTTATTGATATTGCAATAACTTAATGTGAAATATAATGGTGGAAAATTTATTTAGAAAATTTTTATTCGTCTTTTTCTGATCTGGAAAAACTGTCAAAATTGTTTCGTTCGTTTCTCTTGATAAATAACGATATCGGAAATAACGATATCGACGATGTACACTGCCTATATTATACACCGAATTACATTATCTTTTATCGTGATTTGCATTTCATTACAAACGTATGGTCATTTCGTTGAAAATAGTGAGTCTTGAGCGCATAAAATACTGCAAATATGCAAACCATCTGAGAAGAACAATGATATAACAGTTGATTATGGAATAGGCAAATATAATGGCTTGGATGAAATTAACATTATCTATGATAATTTACAGCATTATTTGAAAATGGATAATTGTCCAGTTGCTGTAATATTACATGAGTAAAAATTATGAATTATAAATGTTACCATAGTTAAAATATATGTTCACAATGTAATAGGCTAACATGAAATGTTATTTTTACTTGTGAATCGTTAATATCAAGTTCTTAATTTCTTATAATTTATTTTTGTCGATATATTTAATCGAGCGTACCTAATCATCATTATGAGTAAAATTATGAACTGTTGTTGCATTTTAAAAAGTGTTTTATAAATGTATATTGAAAAATAAAATATTTGATTACATCCAATTTCTGAAAATTGAAAATTAAAAAGATAATTTATTTTTATGATATAGTTTTAATATTTAATACAATTATTGGGTATAACTCTATTCAACTCTATTACATTTTTCTTTAGCAATATTCCAAATTAGATTACACCAAATTTTCCTACACTAGAACGTCTACAATAGTATTTTAATATTTCATGTTGTATTGGTCAATTTTAGCCTACATTCTTATTTTGTAAAATTAAATAGATTTTATACTACACTTAAAAATAAGAAAATAAAATAAATCATCAATAATCAAAATAACCTAAAACTATATATTATATATATATATTTAAAACTGATCTAAATATATATATTAAAATAATAACGGGTTCTTATAAAATAGGTGATGATATTTCTAATATTTTATATTCTTGGTTGATTTTTGTATCTAACAGTGAAAACCATTGCAATATTCTAATTTTTGTAATTTTAATTCTAGTTATTTTTAAATAATTTTGTTACCAATTGTTTATAAAATAGAAATATTAATAAAGCGAATTTACTTTTTGTATATCATAAGATTGGAAAAATGATCTTCGCTTTTATAATATACTATCACGTTTAAATTAAACACATTTTCTGATTGATTTTATATGTTGTTATAATTATTCTTTTCAAAGTTAAAAAATATTTTTATTGAATACATTTTTTTTGTAGGATCGCATTTAAATTGATTTCATATACAAATTTAAAATACAGTTCATTTGTAATTGTCTATGATGGAAAGTCAATTATTTTCAAAATTATTGAAGCACAAAATATTGTTATCACTATTTATTTTATTTTTTCACTGAAACTATTATTTTGTAGATTTTTTTGATCCTTAAATCCTTGACCTATATATTTATTGGACTGTTAGGATATATGCAGCCTTCAACCTATAGAGCTGTGTTTATCTTTGTATATCAAAATGACGATTTAGAATGAACGTTTACGATGCTAACATTTTACAGTCGCGCCCTTCTAGATTCCACATTCTATTTAAGGTGTTATGACCCATAGACAAATCTGTTCTTTTGATCCCACTGAATAGTTTGGTATTATTATTAGATCATTATAAAAACGTATATTATTTTATTAATTTTTATGTATGATATAAAGCCCTGCCTGTATTTACGTAATGTAGTTTTGAGTTATTATAACAAATAAAGTCTACAAAAAACTTACAAAATACCATATTAATTAAAAAAAGTTATTTAATTTTACTTCAATCATATTTTTGATTTTCCCTCAATTTTATTTAATTTAAACTTTAAACAGCTATCTAAATTACATTATTATAATAGTTTTATTATCCAATACATCGTTGATAACAATCGAATATTCAACTATAAATGACCTTTTTAGTTTTCATAAATCACAATCATTTTTATTCAATTAACTTTTGATTTTGTGTTAGTTTTAAAATATATAAAAACGAAATTGTATTGATTTCACGAAGATTGTCTTTTTTTAGAAAATATTTTTTTTATGATAGAATCAAACTACTTTCAAAGTTATATTCATTATGTAATTAGATCACAAATTGGACATAATACTCAAATGTCAATTTTAATATAAAATGTAACATTAATTTATGATGTAAAATACCTTAATTATAAGTTACAATATATAATAATACATTTTATATGGTAATTATACAAATTAGTTTTTCTAATTCATACAAATAATATGACTATATAACGCATCATTTTAATGGTCTATTGATGGTATTCCCTTCTTTAGATTATAAAACCACAAAAACTAGGTTTTAATCAAAGATAATAATATTTTGTTCATGATCAGTATACAATTATTATTATTTTTTAATTATTTTTGGATTGCAATTCTCTTACACTTGTATATTATGTATAAATTAATATTTATTAGTAAATATTTCAATACTTATAATTATTTATAATTTCCGTATTTCAGTGGTTAAACACGATTTCAATCTGGTCCTGTGATAAACGAAAACAGGTACACTAGAAAATAATATATACTGTTGTTAACATACCATGTGTGCTCTTTCATATTTGTGCGTGTATGGGTTAGCAAAATCAACTACTCTCTGTCCAACTACAATCTTTCTTATCAATTTAGTTGAGAATAATAATCGTTATAACTAGTTGTCCTTCTCTTCAAATGATTTGGTTTTATTTATTTGCGAAGGTATTGTGGACTTTCACAGAAACATTATTGTAGTATTTTTTTATTGCGCTAAGAGCTTTGGCTCAAATGTATATAAATTATTATGACTTTGAAATATTTTTTGATTAAATATTTCACTATTGTTTTATTGTAAAAGTTTCATTACTATTTCATAAAACTTATTCAAAACATCATTTATTAAATTTGAATACTATTGTTTACGTTCATGCGTCTGTAACTAGGCTACTATATTGTAATATAAAAAAATGTTTGTTTCTGACAAAAGCAAAAATTCAATTAAAGGTATCATTTATTGTTTTGACTCTTGTATATCTTGTGTATTTTTTGTGTGCAGTTCATTGATAAGGATTATATATTATTACTTAACGGATGAATTAGGACTAAAATAAATACTTGACAGTACGTACCAAATTACATTTAAATATTTACAATAATAAAACCTTGTTTTGCCAATTAATTAAAATATGAAATCTTCATAGGCACTATAACTTATAATTTAATCGGTTAATCTTACACAAAATATCATTGTTTTAAATTTAAACTTAAGTTTATTTTTATCTTTATATGTTAATTTATATGCATTCGGATGGGGTATAAAATACCTTTAAATACAATTTATTATTACACCGAGTGAACCATAATGAAAACAGTTTAAATATATTAAAATGTATACAGACATAGGTAGATACGTGATAGTATTTCTTGACATCGTTGCGATTTGGTTTATGTGACATTTTGGAGGTCACTCTAAATGGATAAAATATGTAGGTATTAGTATACGGAAATGTTTAACTTATTTAATATAGGTATATTTTTAATTCAAGTTCTTTAAATCTAATTTATTTAAAGAATACATATATAATATATATAAACTCCTGAATTTTATTCGTAAACAACTATACTTCTGTCAGAAACCGGAAGTTTTGTTCGTTTTCCCTTGAAATCTTATCATATTTGGCGCAACAGGAAATATTAAACGAATAGATGCGATACAATACGATTATTGATAGTAATCATGCGATTGTTAAAAACAAAATCGTCAAATTTAACCCTGAATATTTGAACGATAATCATACAATACATATATATATATATATATATATATGATCCCTTCGTTTTAATCCTTTCTATTACAGGGTGAACCACAAAATTTATAAATTCATACAGATTTAATGTTTGAAATTTTGTTGTGAAATTGATGAGTACAAAATACTACAAGTATACAACGATTTATAACATTTTGCGTTATCACTAAATTACGTTATTACAAATAACTTATTAATATACGTAATATTTAACAACAATCATCATCAAAATATTATACTGGGCCCATTTAATAATGCGGAAGTTATTATGCTAATACATTTTAATAGTTATGTTTCATTATTTCAATTCCTAATTTAAGTATAAAATAGTTCGAATAGTTAATAGCAATTGTGTATATCCTACTATGTACGAAATCAAATCAAAGCTTTATTTCACGTTGTTTTCTATCGGAATTTAAAAATAAAAATAAACTATTTTTTGTTACAAACTTTACCTCTGTAGATAATAATAATTTTATCTATAGTATTATATTGGTAATTATTAATATATTGACTTACTGAAATTTATTAGGTATACACGTGTATTTAAAATAAAAAATTACAAATATGACAATAACAATAAACATTCAAGTGTAAATTTTTCAAATTATTTTCCGTATATTTTATGTTATACTATAGAAAGATAAAATAAATAAAATAATTATTATCATATTAAATATGATTGAATAAAATGTTTAAATTTTAAATAATATATTAACATTACAGCATTAGTATTATGACGATCCGCAGAAATATTGACAATAAGTTAAATTTTATCATCAGATTATAGTATTACAGAGTTAATTAAAATCTTATTCGATTTTTTTTAAAAAATAATTTCAAGAA